TTTAGTCATCTCTGCTGATCTACATGTATTACTATATATTTAGGTTAATAATGCTGATCTACATGGCCTCTGCAATGATTGATCTCATGCCAGCTTTTTACCTTCATTCTTGCTGTCATCACTGGGTAGATATACAATTACTGTCCCAAATTGATGAATATATTTTCTTTTTATGATAAATATGTTTTGGTTTTTAGGATGGAAATTCTAGATTTGAGAATTACCAGTAGACATGCCAAGTGTATAGGCACAGCGGTATCAATCTCAGGGGCAAAGTGCTTCTGGCGAGCACAGGGAGGTTGCTGCTGGCGAGGTTGGGGTGGCTGACTAGGTTGGGTGGGTGGGGGAACTTTGGTTGAATTTATTTAATACTAACTTCATAAATATGAGAATTTGCTTGAATAATTAAAGGGTATTTTAGGAATAATGGTGGGTGGAAAGATAGGATTGTGTTTTTTCAAATTTATATAATGAGTGGGAAGATAAGGTGGGTGGGGAAATAGGACAAGGGGGTGGAAATAGCACCACTCAAAAGTTCTAATAAAACTATTATTATTATATTACCTCTTTACACAAATTGCTAAAAACCAAAGAGATTTTAATCCATTTTTCTCTTTTCTTGGCGCAGACAGGGAAAAAACTTTCTTATTGTTTGTGAGTTTTTCTCTCAACCTCAATATTATATTATCAAGTTTTAAAATTAGGTTAATTCATGGATGGATGATTACTTGATTGCAGAGAAAAATATTTTTAGTAGTATAGATGACGTGGTTGTTATGCAATGATTTCAAAATATGAAAACTTGTAGAGGACAATTATGATTGTAATGAATAGACAGTATTATTTTTTATGTTTTGGTATGCCTTGAAATCGATTTTTTTAATTGTTTATATTTTGTGAGAACCACACACAAAATTCTGGTCTCACTGTCATGAAACACGTGGCAAAACTGAAGAATATATTTTACTTGGGACCCTATTTGTTCGATACATGCCCCTTGAAGTTTGAGCATAGTATATTGTAGAGCTGTGAGAATGAAGGCTTAAAGAAAGGACAATACTTCCCTCCTTAGGTAAGGAGGAACTCCTCCTTACCTTCTATTGTGGTTCAACCACAAAGTGACATGTGTCCTCTCTTTTTTAATTGTCTAGGGCTTTTTACCAAAACAGGAAAATAAAAATAAAAATAAAATTCCCATTGTTTTTTTTTTCCCACTTGGTAACATGATCTTGTATTGAAAAAACCTCAATGAAGAACTATGTCAACAATTGTTGCTAGCAGCAATTTTGGTTGTAGAGGGATTATTAAAGTTAGAGTTGGAAAGGGCCACAAAGACTTAAAATTTTGACTGAGGAAGGAAAATTATTATTTTTGAAAATGGTTGAGAAAAATCAGAGTGAAAAAAAATGGGAATTTGGTTTTTTATTATTATTATTTTTCTATGGCCATCACTTTACCCCTTACGGGCCGACCCGGTGTGATCGGGGATTAGTCTGGGTTGTGATTAAGGCTTAAAGGTGTCACTCATAGTTGGGGCCCATCCAGGACCACCTCGTGGTTCAGACCAAAAAAAAAAGAAAAAAGAACAAGACACATGTCACTTTGTAGCTGAGTCACAATAGAAGGTAAGGAGGAAAGTATTGTCCTGGATGCCAAAGACAGACAGCGGAGACCAGAGACTTGGTAGCTTGCTGGGCAATTCCCTATTGTCTTGCCGCCTTGGGAACCTGTTTATGTGACTCGGTTTTCCATAGAAAATTTGCACATTGAATTGTGGCGGACTTTAGAAGTGTTTGGCTGACTAGAGAACTATTCAAACAAATAATGAGTTTGTGTGCACTGGCAGCAAATGTATGCCAGCAGCTTCCCATCATTCTAAATAAAATTAAACAGAGACAAAAATCACAACAAACAAGCATCCTCATAGAATTTTAAAGCTGCATTTACTTATAAACTCAGCATCCTAGAACTTCAATCCATCAGTATCAACGTTAAAAACAATTAAAGGAGCTGGAATGTTCAGAGCAGTTTCACAAGTTTCAACCATGCTTATTAAGTCTGGCATTGGACTAATATGCAGGAAAATAGGGGGTGAAAACAGAAGATAAATCAAAACTGAAGTGTGCTTATATTGCAAATTTCTGTGGTAAAAAAAAAGTATATATTGTCTTGAAGATTTCAAGTATCCCCTGTTGAAGGCATTTACTTTTCACAACAAAAGCAAATTTGCCATCAGCGAGGCAATAGGACCACACTTTTGCAGTCTGTATGTTCTTACATTTGAAAACCTAAAAAATTGAAATTGCAGTACCAAAACCCTTATTTCATGTAGAACTAGCTTCTGGCCTTCATATTGACATACCCTCTATATATATATATTCCCTGATTTTACTTGGAACTGACTTGAAACTTGAGACATAAAAAAGGCTAACCAAATCTTCATGAGGGAAGGATTGAGCTTTGACTCCTTCCATGTTTGGATGAGAAAAACTTCCTGCCAGATGAGAAAGGCCTTTTCATTGATATTGGCCCCATCTGCAGAGAAAACCCAATTGAAGAACTTCTCATTAGCTTGGCTAGGCTAGAACTTGAACTGCCATACTTGGAAACAATCCCTGAATTCGAATTCTTAACATGTGCTAATTGGGAATTTGAACTTCCTTCTTCAGGAATGACATTGGCCACATCACGGTATATTCGCGAAGCAGATGACGAATCCATCGAAACTGACCTCCTAATTGGTTGTATGTCCTCTTCAGTAACACGACGATTGTCAGTCAAATCACTTAATGCTCTTGGATCACGACTACCAGCAGCCACAGTAGAACTTGGCAAAACCTTTCCTGAATTTTCAGCAGTTCTTCCCTCAGTTGGAATTGCAAAAACATTCTCATCATCTGCAATCCCAACCTCACTTGTCCCACTTCCAAGGCTTCCAACCCTTCCATTATTCTCCAAATTCTCTACCTCAATGCTTTCCCTCGAAGCTGAATCCCTCGAAATAGGCTCAGGGACACTTTCTTGAGCCCTAGCAATGTCACAAACAATTGGAGCGCGGCAAAGAGGGCAATTTTTATGTGATCTCAACCAGGTATCAATACAAGGGATGTGGAAGGCATGACTGCACTTGGGTAAAAGCCTAAGACTCTCATCTTCTTTAAACTCACTCAAGCAAACAGAACAATCTGTTCCTTCAATCAAACCCTCATCTTTTTTATACTTGCAGACTGTTATGGAGTCAATTACAGATTGCGGGAGCCCAACAGTGTGGATGTACCAAATGGGATGATCAAGAACAGGTCCATGATCTTCATCAAGAAAATCGTGTTGGGTATCAAACAAAATTGGTAAAGAACTACTCCTCCTCCTCCTGGAATTGCTGCGGCGCCAATAAAATCTTACAATAGAGAAAACAATGGCAACAAGAAGAGCAGCCCCAATCACACAAGCTGTGATTTTCATGCTTGTTTCAAGTATATGTTTCTGTCCAGATGGGGGCTGATAAGTCACTGGTTGTAATGGCGGTGGTGGTGGATTACATACAGGATGGCATATTTCAACACAAGGAAGAAAACAGACACCCCCTTTGTCCAAAGCTGGGTTACAACGACCTGAACAGAAACATTCCTCACAGGAATTGTTTTGGGGTTGGGGGATGAATTTTCTGTGATCAAATCCCATTGAAAAAAGGAAAAAGAAAAACAGAGGAGATTCAAAACAGGGGTTAAAATTTAGAAATTCATACCTTTTGTTTGTTCATGAGCCAGAAGAGAGAGCGAGAGAGAGAGAGAGTCAGAGAGTTAAGGCAAAGGATTAGATTTCCAGCCACATACAGAGCTTGGAAATTGATTGTCATGGACAACATGGGCTCAGTTCCTTTTTTTCTTCCACAACTTGTTCTTTGCTTAATTGGGGGAGTTCGTTTTCAAAGAGACTTCTGCATTTTCTTGGATGTTTGCTTATACGTTTATGAAATTATCACGAATGGTCATTGAGGTTTTTTTGTGACACTAATAGTCCTTAACGTTTAGACTTTTTATCACAAATGGTCCCTGCCGTAAGAAATTCTGTTAAGTGCATGATGTGGAAGATAAGTGGAGCTCACATGTCCAATCACATCGTCACATGTTGATTAAATAAATAAAAAAATATTTTTTAAAAAAATATGAAAATCCATTAAAAAACCATTTATCGTCTCTCTCTCTCTCTCTCTCTCTCTCTCCAACTTGTATTCATTTTTGGTGTAACAGTTTCTTTGGACTGGAGATGATCCGCATAAAAAATTCTTACCTCTATCAAATGTTTTTTTCATCTTTGGACAGGTATGCAATCACCAATGGAGAATAGGTATGGTCTAATAAGGCAGGACAATGGAGTTTGGAGGGCCTTGAGAGATGGAGACTTTGAGGAAGAGGATGTTTGGGAGGTTCTAAAAGATGGGAACAGTTCTAGTAACTACGGGGCAGTGGAGTTTGGAGGGCCTTGAGAGATGGAGACTTTGAGGAAGAGGATGTTTGGGAGGTTCTAAAAGATAGGAACAATTCTAGTAACTACGGATGTTTAAGGGAGAGGGAGAGCAGAGGGGGAGAGAGAACAGAGGGAGAGGGCAGAGGGAAAGAGAGAGAGGCTAGAGGGAGGAGAGAGAGGACATCGGGAGAGAGAGATTGAGTATAGAGAGGGGATGGGAAGTTGCACAAAAACATGGATTTTTATTTATTTAATCCACATGTCACGATGTGATTGGACATATGAGCTCCACTTATTTTCCACATAAGACACTTAACAGAATTTCTGACGGCAGAGACCATTTGTGATAAAAAGTCCAAACGTTAAGGACTATTAGTGTCACAAAAAAACCTCAAGGACCATTCGTGATAATTTCGTAAACGTGAAGGACCATTTGTGATAAAAAGCCTTTTTTTGATCTTTTACTATGGAAATTGTCCATCAATTTAATGAGCAAAAAAAACCCAACTGATTTGATTTCCGTTTTGTATGACAAAACCTTACACATTGTTTCGCTCATTGCATGTAAAATTTCGTTCTTTTTTTCTTATATAGACAAATCGCTGACATATATATGCAAAAATAAATCATTAAAAATACAGAAAAATATTTCTAAAAACATATCTAACTAAGATTTATCAAATCTTCACGAGGGAAGGATTGAGCTTTGACTCCTTCCATGTTTGGATGAGAAAGGCCTTTTCATTGATATTGGCCCCATCTGCAGAGAAAACCCAATTGAAGAACTCCTCATTAGCTTGGCTAGGCTAGAACTTGAACTGCCATACTTGGAAACAATCCCCGAATTCGGATTCTTAACATGTACTAATTGGGATTTTGAACTTCCTTCTTCAGGAATGACATTGGCCACATCACGGTATATTCGCGAAGCAGATGACGAATCCATCGAAACTGACCTCCTAATTGGTTGCATGTCGTCTTCAGTGACACGACGATTGTCAGTCAAATCACTTAATGCTCTCGGATCACGACTACCAGCAGCCACAGTAGAACTTGGCAAAACCTTTCCTGAATTTTCTGCAGTTCTTCCCTCAGTTGGAATTGCAAAAACATTCTCATCATCTGCAATCCCAACCTCACTTGTCCCACTTCCAAGGCTTCCAACCCTTCCATTATTCTCCAAATTCTCTACCTCAATGCTTTCCCTCGAAGCTGAATCCCTCGAAATAGGCTCAGGGACACTTTCTTGAGCCCTAGCAATGTCACAAACAATTGGAGCGCGGCAAAGAGGGCAATTTTTATGTGATCTCAACCAGGTATCAATACAAGGGATGTGGAAGGCATGACTGCACTTGGGCAAAAGCCTAAGACTCTCATCTTCTTCAAACTCACTCAAGCAAACAGAACAATCTGTTCCTTCAATCAAACCCTCATCTTTTTTATACTTGCAGACTGTTATGGAGTCAATTACAGATTGCGGGAGCCCAACAGTGTGGATGTACCAAATGGGATGATCAAGAACAGGTCCATGATCTTCATCAAGAAAATCGTGTTGGGTATCAAACAAAATTGGTAAAGAACTACTCCTCCTCCTCCTGGAATTGCTGCGGCGCCAATAAAATCTTACAATGGAGAAAACAATAGCAACAAGAAGAGCAACCCCAATCATACAAGCTGTAATTGTTATGCTTCTTTCAAGTATATGTTTCTGTTCAGATGGTGGTGGTAGTGATGGTGGTAGTGATGGTAGTTGTGGTGGTGGTGGTGGGTTACATACACCAGGGCACATTTTGCAACAAGGAAGAAAACAGAAACCCCCTTTGTTCAAAGCTGGGTTACAAGGAATTGAACAGAAATATTCCTCACTGGAATTGGTTTGGGGGATGAGTTTTCTGTGATCAAATCCAATTGAAAAAAGGAAAAAGAAAAACAGAGGTGATTCAAAACAGGGGTTAGAAATTAGAAATTCATACCTTTTGTTTGTTTATGAGCCAGAAGAGAGAGAAAGAGAGAGAGTCAGAGAGTCAAGGCAAAGGATTAGATTTCCAGCTGCATACTGAGCTTGGAAATTGATTGTCATGGACAACATGGGCTCAGTTCCTTTTTTTTTCTTCCACAACTTGTTCTTTGCTTAATTGGGGGAGTTGGTTTTCAAAGAGACTTTTGCATTTACTTGGACGTTCGCTTATTCTTTTGGCACTGTGCAACAAAGTCAATGAGCTTTATCGACTCTTTCCGCGTTCACTGTACCATAATCACATCAACTGGGTTTTCTTTTTCATTTTGTTTTATCTTTTACTATGGAAATTGTCCATCAATTAATGAGCCAAAACAAAACCCAACTGATTTGATTTCCGTTTTGTATGCCAAAATCATTGGAAGTTCTTCTACTGTTAGGGACAAAACCTTATGCAAGTGAGATGTTCACCCCTTAAGTTATCTCTTTAATTATCTCTTTTAAGGTTGTTCATTACACATTGTTTTACTCTTTACATATACGCAAAAATAACTCATTACAAATATAAATAAATGTTTCTATACACGTATTTAACTAAAATTTATCTTTAAAGAAAAATGACTTCGTACACGTGAGAAGCTAAGTATTTTCCTTTCCCATTTATTAGTTGTAAAAAGAAGTGATCTTAATCTTATAGAGAAAAAGTGTCGGTTGGCTTGGCATGGTTTGGGTGGGATGCAGACTTTGAGAGAAAAGTCTTGATTTTTTTTAGAAAACTTGAGATGACTCGGCCGCTGCAAATCGCCCCTATCAAACAAAAGATTGAATGCTTGCCAGGAGCTATTCGAAACAAAAGATTGGGCCCGTGTGTGAAGTGAATATGGGCTTGATACTCTCTGACTAGGGCCTCACAGTTTCTTATAAGAGGGTTTCTCTAGACACCCGACCCGAGACATGTCTCCGCGCACTAATATCAAAATTTTGAAATTACAGATGATAAACTTTATAAAAACGTTTTATGCTAGGTACTTCTTTAGGAAACACTTCACCTACTTTTCTCATAAGCACTTGAATTTTGAACAAAATTTTCAATTTGCTTATAGTAATAACGCTTGTAGATACAAGTGTTTGTACATAAACAATCTAAAGAAGGCAACTCACATTTACCTTGCCACATCAGTTTTTTTTCCCTCTCCAAATTATGAATGAGACTAGAAGGCACATGTGTTTGTGCACAAACACACTAATAGAGACCAGAGATACCATAAAACAAGATACAAATAACAAAACTACAAGCACGTGCCACCAGGGGAAATTTTATTTATTTATTTGGTCATAATACCACCAGGGGTAATTAAGGTATTTAACATTGAAGAAAGTCGAAACAGTCAATTCAGGATTGCAATTTTCATCTTCATAATAATAAACAAATGGTGCTATTGTCACCGCCAAACATATTTTCCTACGAGTGTATTTTTACTCACCACTTTAATCATAGGTGTACCCTCACCAACCATGTCTTCAAAGAGTAGAGCATGCCTAGAGATGGAGAGCAACTAGTATCTTATATTTTTTTCTTGCAGGTGTCAGTGGGAAAGAAAAAAACAGAGGGAGAAGAGATGGAGAGCAAAGGGTGGAGAGCGAGGGCAGAGGGGGAGAGAGACGGAATAAGGAAGGGGGATGAAAAGTTGCAGAAAAAAAAAATAATTAAAAAATAATTTAATTATTTTTTTATCCACATATCACCATGTGATTGGACATGTGGGTTCTATTTATCTTCCACGTCACACTTAACAGAATTTATAATGGCAGGGACCATTTGTGATAAAAAGCCCAAACGATAAGGACTATTAGTGTCACAAAAAAAACCTCAAGGACCATTCGTGATAATTTCGTAAACGTGAAGGACCATTTGTGATAAAAAAAAACCTAAAGAGATTAATCTTTAATCTACTAATGCCAACAATTAGATCATTCCCATCAAAACATCTTTTCTCCATATTTCCCCTTATTTCATGTAGCCCCTGTTGAAGGCATTTACTTTTCATAACAAAAGCAAATTTGCCATCAGCGAGGCCATAGGACCACACTTTTGCAGTCTGTATGTTCTTTCTTACATTTGAAAACCTAAAAAATTGAAATTGCAGTACCAAAACCTTTATTTCATGTAGAACCAGCTTCGGTCCTTCATATTGACATACCCTCTATATATATATATATTCCCTGATTTTACTTGGAACTGACTTGAAACTTGAGACATAAAAAAGGCTAACCAAATCTTCATGAGGGAAGGATTGAGCTTTGACTCCTTCCATGTTTGGATGAGAAAAACTTCCTGCCAGATGAGAAAGGCCGTTTCATTGATATTGGCCCCATCTGCAGAGAAAACCCAATTGAAGAACTCCTCATTAGCTTGGCTAGGCTAGAACTTGAACTGCCATACTTGGAAACAATCCCCGAATTCGGATTCTTAACATGTACTAATTGGGATTTTGAACTTCCTTCTTCAGGAATGACATTGGCCACATCACGGTATATTCGCGAAGCAGATGACGAATCCATCGAAACTGACCTCCTAATTGGTTGTATGTCCTCTTCAGTAACACGACGATTGTCAGTCAAATCACTTAATGCTCTTGGATCACGACTACCAGCAGCCACAGTAGAACTTGGCAAAACCTTTCCTGAATTTTCAGCAGTTCTTCCCTCAGTTGGAATTGCAAAAACATTCTCATCATCTGCAATCCCAACCTCACTTGTCCCACTTCCAAGGCTTCCAACCCTTCCATTATTCTCCAAATTCTCTACCTCAATGCTTTCCCTCGAAGCTGAATCCCTCGAAATAGGCTCAGGGACACTTTCTTGAGCCCTAGCAATGTCACAAACAATTGGAGCGCGGCAAAGAGGGCAATTTTTATGTGATCTCAACCAGGTATCAATACAAGGGATGTGGAAGGCATGACTGCACTTGGGTAAAAGCCTAAGACTCTCATCTTCTTTAAACTCACTCAAGCAAACAGAACAATCTGTTCCTTCAATCAAACCCTCATCTTTTTTATACTTGCAGACTGTTATGGAGTCAATTACAAATTGCGGGAGCCCAACAGTGTGGATGTACCAAATGGGATGATCAAGAACAGGTCCATGATCTTCATCAAGAAAATCGTGTTGGGTATCAAACAAAATTGGTAAAGAACTACTCCTCCTCCTGGAATTGCTGCGGCGCCAATAAAATCTTACAATAGAGAAAACAATGGCAACAAGAAGAGCAACCCCAATCATACAAGCTGTGATTTTCATGCTTTTTTCAAGTATATGTTTATGTTCAGATGGGGGCTGATAATAATCAGTCAGTGGTAGTAATGTTGATGGTGGTGGTGGAGTAGGGTTTGGAAAAAGCAGAGGAGGAAGTTCACTACCACCAATGACTATAACATTCTTACATACACCAGGGCATTTTTCGCAACAAGGACGAAAACAGAAACCCCCTTTCATCGGAGCTTGCTTACACTGAATTGGACAGAAATATTCCTCATTGAAATTGGTTTGGAGGATGAGTTTTCTGTGATCAAATCCCATTGAAAAAAGGAAAAAGAAAAACAGAGGAGATTTAAAACAGGGGTTAGAAATTAGAAATTCATACCTTTTGTTTGTTTATGAGCCAGAAGAGAGAGAGAGAGAGTCAGAGTCAAGGCAAAGGATTAGATTTCCAGCCACATACTGAGCTTGGAAATTGATTGTCATGGACAACATGGGCTCAGTTCCTTTTTTTCTTCCACAACTTGTTCTTTGCTCAATTGGGGGAGTTGGTTTTCAAAGAGACTTTTGCATTTACTTAGATGTTTGCTTATTCTTTTGGCACTGTGCAACAAAGTCAATGAGCTTTATCGACTCTTGCCGCGTTCACTGTACCATATCTACATCAACTGGGTTTTCTTTTTCATTTTGTTTTATCTTTTACTATGGAAATTGTCCATCAATTAATGAGCCAAAAAAAACCCAACTGATTTGATTTCCATTTTGTATGCCAATATCATTGGAGGTTCTTGTACTGTTAGGGACAAAACCTTACGCAAGTGAGATGTTCACCCCTTAAGTTATCTCTTTAAGGTTGTTCGTTTCACATTGTTTTACTCTTTACATATAAAAATTCATTCTATGTTGTAGACAATTCACAATCTGACCCTGCCATATATACGCAAAAATAACTTATTAAAAATATAAAAAAAATATTTCTATACACGTATGTAACTGAAATTTATCTATAAAGAAAAATGACTCCGTACACGTGAGAAGCTAAGTATTTTCCCTTCAAGAAGTGATCTTAATCTTATAGGGTTGGCTTCGCATGGTTTGGGGGAAATTTTTTATTTTTTATTTGTCATAATACCACCAGGGGTAATTTAGGTATTTAACATTGAAGAAGGTCGAAACAGTCAATTCAGGATTGCAATTTGCATCTTCATAATAATAAACAAATGGTGCTATTGTCACCGCCAAACATATTTCCCTACCTACCCCCCATTGCCTTTATTATTCCCAAATTGACATTTTCGTTACCTAATATTTACTAACTAAACTAAAGATTTCACCTTTGCCAACTTCCACGTTTTTTCCTACAAGTTTCCTTGACCTCCTCCCTCATTTGACGTTACATATATGAAAGTCTTGATCCTAAATGGATTTTACACATCTATTTGGAAAGCCTAATTAAAGAGATTATTCTTTAATCCACTAATGCCAACAATTAGATCATTCCCATCAGAACATCTTTTCTCCATATTTCCCCCTATTTTATTGTCAATTATGCATCTTTTTCTCCCTGAGAAATCATGTTTTTCACGTCCTTCACGATGTTGGGCATGCTTGCAATGCACCACATGTTACCTAATCGTACCAATCTAAACTATATAAAATTTTACTAGATGAGAATCTAACTTTCAATGTTTTAACAGGCATCAAAGTCAATTCATATAACCAATTAACTTGTTATAACTCTTAATTCATTCTTTCCCCTTAATTTAATTATGTCATTTTGCCCCCACCACCCTAAGAGACGGTGGCCATCAACCATCAATCATTGTCTCTAGTTCCGCTCTACCCTCAATTTCCCTAATCTGCTCATATTGCCATCCATTAATTGATTTAATCGTTTTAATCAATTCATGTTCTAGTTCATCTCCAAGTTCTTGTTCCAATCTTTTCTCCAGTTGCCAATTCCAGTTCCTGTTCATTGACCATTTACCAATCCACATGTTGCCTAAAACATCTTGAGTTTGAAGAAGCGCGGTAGTTAATCTGCATACAATGCACCGCATGTTACCCACATCTCTTGGTTCTTTCTCGTGATTTTTCTCATTGATACTTCCTTGACTTAGACATAAACCCTAAGAAATTCACTTAGCAATAATTTAAAGGTTCCTGTTTTATTATTATTATTGACAACAGTGACACTCCAAGTAAATCAAATTATTCCTATATTTTTAATATTCCCATCCCCCTCTCACAACTGGAATCCGACATGTGAGCCATTTGATTAATTAAGGAAAGCCAATTAAACAATAATCGGTGCAACCAACAAGCATATATCCTAACAATTCTGTGTTGAATATTAGGGCTTTATATAAAACGTGTTTTCTTTTTTACAAGTTGGAAACGTTGGTTTACCAAATGTTTTGTCCTTGAGTAAAAGCAAGTTGTTTCAACATGACTTTCCAAAAGCTATCAATTCATGATGAATTATTCATCCCCGTCAGCCTCTAGCTGGACTTGGTATTGGATTGGATTAATTATGCTTCAAGCCAAGCATTAATTGTAATTAATTCCTATAAAGTCTTCAACATCACTCGAACCTATGACGAAGGAAATATTATTTATATCAGAGATTATTAATATATAATTTCCCACGTTGCTTTAAACAAAATAGACTGACAAAGAAAAACTTCTAGTTGACCGTGGAGAACAAGTCATCTGTTTCGTACTTTCCTATTGTCATGCATATGCAATTATCCATTGCACCAAATCCATTAAGAAAATGCTTACGATTACAATATTCACATTGAACCCCTCATGGAACGTGCTTCCTTGACTAATCTTCACATTGGACCCAGATACAGATAGTCTATAAATATACTACCATCAAAAGAAAAACTCTCATTAACAAAATTCAAATTATTTTTGGGCAGTTATATTGGAGGAGTTGATCAAGAAGAACCCATGTCAACAATCACATCGGTTGATCTTTGCCGGTCGAGTTGCCGCCTTTTCGTCAAGCATCCTGGAGTGTTTCAGCATTTCTCATCAGCGACATTGAAATGCCAACAAGGTTTCAGAACCAACCATGAATTGTTGTCTCTCACAGTAGGGCAGAGGAATGTTTTTAGCAGGCAGCCATGTAGGAATAAGATTGTGTGCAATAGTTCTCCATTACCTGGAGCTCCAGGCCCTTCACACTCCTGGTAATTAGCAATCAGATCAGACCTTTCAATGCTCTATAATCTATATTAATGAATATTCATTTATACTCTTTTTTAACTTTTTGCAAATTATTATAAACAGGAAAGGATGGATGATAGGGATAGTATTATCAGTAAGTTTACCCTTCTGGAGGCACAAATGGACGCCCTTGCTAGCAATAAAAAGTGAGTAATATTCTAGTTTACCCTGTTGGAAGAGGTTCTGGGTTCGAATTGTGGTTGTGTTGTTGCGTGTCGTGAATGTATTTTCGCTTTTTCTCATAAGAAAAATTGAATTGGGTTTTGATTGTGCAGAGGAGGTGGACATGATTGTAGACACAGTTGAGGCAGTGGTGGAGGTGGTAGAACAGGTAGCTGAGAAAGTGGAGGAAGTGGCAGATGATATAGGTGATCATCTTCCTGATGGAAAGCTTAAGGATGCACTTGAAGCAGTTGAAAGTATAGCCAAAGAAGCAGCCAAAGATGCTCACCTTGCAGACCAGCTAATTGAGAAGGTACTTAAATTATTATATGTAAAACATGAAAATGAATTCAGATAATTTTTTCTTCAAAACACTAGAAGGTGGCAAAAAATTAATTAGAGTTCTGTCTCAAAAATGCAGGCAGAAGAAGTGGAAGATCGGGTAGAAGACTTCTTTGAGTCAGCCGTGGATCAAGCAGGGAATGAAATCACCAAAGATGTTGGCGATGAACAAAATATTGTACAAGTAGAAAAGAAAATCCAGTGAATATATATGAGATTTTCCAATCAAAGATGAACAGGATACCAATAATTCTGTCATCTCTAACTGTTTCTGTGAAATTGTATTCATTAATATTCATTCTTTTCTAATAGATTATCAAGTTCTATTGGTGAAATAATTACTGCATCTTATCGGCAACCTTATTTGCACCACCAAATTAACATATATTCTCAATTTAAATTGGTGAAATAATTACTGCATCTTATCGGCAACCTTATTTGCACCACCAAATTAACATATATTCTCAATTTAACAAGAAAAAAAAAAGAGCAAAGAACAAATATTTCTCCAGCCACCTTCTATTCCTAAGTTCCTCTCTATTATTCTCAAAACATCTTTTCTCTACAAGACAAGAAGAAAACAATAATCATTTTCATGGTAAGCTTCCTGCAATTCTAATTTTATTAAACATTTTTTTCACTTTTTTTGTCTGTATAAATGGTCCTTCTACGTTATTTCATATATGAATAAAATTGTAATTACATTTTATTTCTCTTCTAGTTTTGGTGAAAGAATGGATGAGGAAATAGAGTTTGGTAGTGGTTACATTCAATTTCTCTCCTTTATTTGTTTATTTATTAATCTCCTTATTCTCTTTGAGGAAACAGAACACGCAAACAGATGATCGTATTCTAATACCCTACAATAATTTCTCATTTTGTTGATTCTTTCTTTTTATCCCTTGGTTTCAACGTTCTTAACTTAGACTCACCCTCATATATGCATATGAAAATTTTCACCCTAAGAATTCAAAGTTCCTGTTTTCTCATTGACAATTTTGACACTCCAATGAAATCAAATTATTCCTATATTATTGTAATATATATTCCCATCCTCTCTCTCTCTCTCTCTCTCTCTCAACTGAACTCCCAACATGTATTAATTAAAGAAAGTGGATCAATTCAACAATTGGTGTGCAACAAATGAACATCATCATTACACCCAACATGTTTTAATGTCATATTAAACTTTGTAGTTTACTATCATTTTAGAAAAGTTTAAGCCAACGGTCATATATATATATATGTTGGCCAGAAATCGTGTTTCTTTTGTTTGTTGTTTTGTCCTTGCGTAATATCAAATTGTTTCTACCGGCCTTCCAAGGCTTCATCCCTGTCAGCGTCTAGCTGGCCTTGGTATATTGTATTGGATTAAAGGATCAACCCAAGGATTATTTGTAATTAATTAATATACCTAGTGTTGGAAACCTCATAGGGCATGTGCCACCGCTCCTTTTCAAAGAAACAATAATAATGTGTTTGTTTTTTTTAACATATTTCCATATCTTAAAGCATCTCTATCCCAGCAGTTATGCGAACATGAATTTTGACAATCAATGACAAGTTGTGACACGTGGATAGAAGAAGAGTGTGAAAAGAATCATCTGCAAATATTCTCCTCGGCGGAAATTTGCACAAACAGCAGTATGCTTACCTTCCTTTCAATTTCATACAAATATATAGTCACACACCTCTAGATATTTCATATAGCAGGTGAAAGTTATAAGTTATAAGATAAATTAGTTGTAAGAATAATCAGCTGTGAAGTAAAGAAATGACAAGGTTTTTTTTTTCGTTGTAGATCCGTGAACGGGATTTTCAAGAATCAGATGAGCTACTTCTTAAAAATTGTTGTCATTGGGTAGCTTACTGTGATAAAAAATTTAGCTGATGTTTTCAACTCAACCAAAGGGATTTGAAGCTCAAATCTTCCATAACAATTAAGCGCGTTGGCTTGAAATGAAAAGGAAAAAAGAAAACTCGTAGTTGACCATGGGGAATGTACATAGAACAAGTCATCTGCTTGCAAATGCACATACCAAATCCATTAAGAAAATGTGGACAATTTCTTTGAACTTTCCGAGACTATATTCTTCACATTTGAACCCAGTAGGCTATATATACTACCACCAAAACAGCAGAACCTCTCATCACCAAAACATCCATCATTTTTGAAAAAATTTGGCGATTGATATAAGGCACTTTTGGAAGTACTGTCAATTGGAGGATTTGATCAAGAATAACCAATGTCGGCAATCGCATCATCGATTCATCTTAGCCGATGGACGAGCAGTCATCGCCTTTTTGCCAAGCATCCTGGACCTGGAGTAGTTCAACATTTTTCATCATCGTCAACGTGGAAATGCCAACAAGGTTTCAGAACCAACGATGCATTGTTGTCTCTCACAATAGGACAGAGGAGAACTCTTAGCAGCAAACCATGTCGGAATAAGATTGTCTGCAATAGTTCTGCATCACCTGAAGCTCAAAGTCCTTCTGGAGCCCCTTCACACTCTTTGTAATTAGCAATCGGACCTTAATGAATTCATTTGATCTTCTTCCCTTTTTCTTCAAGTAGTATAATAAAAAACTGTCATGTAAACAGGAGAAGCTGGATGATTGGGATGGTATTCTCAGTAATTATACCCTTTTGGAGGCACAAATGGGGGCCCTTGCTACAATTGAAAAGTAAGTTTTCAAATTTACTCTTGTTATAGTGGAGGAGGTCCCGAGTTCAAATCTCATGTGCGAGACTTGTTTGTGTCGTTGAATCTAAAAATTACTTTTCATGACTATATTTAAGACTTCCTTCTCATCAGAAAAATCGAATTTCGTTTCGATTGTGTAGAGGAGGTGGACATGATTGTAGACAATGTTGAAGCAGTGGCGGAGGTGGTAGAACAGGTAGCTGAGAAAGTGGAGGAAGTGGCGGATGAAATAGGTGATCGTCTTCCCGAGGGAAAGCTTAAGGTTGCAGCTGATTTAGTTGAAAGCTTAGCCAGAGAAGCAGCCAAAGATGCTCATCTTGCAGACCAGCTGATTGAGAAGGTTAGTGAAAGTTCATATAACATATAAAACTTAGATAATTAATCTTCTCCACACACACATATGAAATTAGTGAAATATAATTAGGAGCTAATTATGTTTTCTGTAAAAAAAAAATGCAGGCAGAAGAAGTGGAAGATCGGGTGGAAAACTTTTTTGAGTCAGCCATGGATAAAGCAGGAGACTTGACCAAAGTTGTTGCTGATGAACCAAATATTGTACCAGTAGAGAAGAAATTTCAGTGATATATATTTGATGTTCAAATCAGAGATGAACTAACTTACCATTCTGTTATATCCAACTGTAAAAAAAAAATGGATTCAATTTTTTACAAAACAGATACGAAATCTGAACTGGTGTTTACGAATGTATTCATTATTTGTTATTAGACCAACTTAAACTTGTGTTGGTATTGCTTGACTTTCATTCCTATCACAGTTCACAAAATACCTTAGATGAAAAAAATTATAAAAAAAGAAACAAAAACAAAGCTTCTAGATCCTCCATTTTTTTAATACAAGAAATATTGATAGAGGGGGGTTTTCTCTCGCGCACAATATCAATGTGAAATAAAGATATAAATATGAGACCATCGGCAAATCAAGATTCTTTTTCATTGAGGAAGACACCTGGGCCAAATTCTAAATCGTGCATTTAAATGTGAGCACCGTCTTTACTAGCACTACTTTATCATTTCCCACATGACACATGACTTACCAAATCCATTTTTGACCAATTAAAATAATAAAAATATAGTGTGTACTTCTTTCTTTTTCATTTTTTGGACTGAAAATACAGTGTACCTAAATATTATTATGGACATGGGGCCTTTATGGGTCCCTATCCATAGTTTTCTCTGCCGCGCTGTAAGTCATATAGGGACACTGCGATTCATCTCTCTGGTACAATAAAGATCCATATCTTGTGGAAGATGCTATGGGATATGATTATGATTTATTCATCACGACATAAACGAAGTAGAAAAGATAATGAAATTCGATGATTGGAGTTGGAGGTCAATTATGGCAACACTACCTTACAAATTTTTATTTTTATTTTTTTAATTTTTCTATTAGTCAAATCAGAACTAGTTTATCCCAAAAATAAAATAAAAACACAGTGGTTATCCCATTGCCATTATTTTATTTTATTTATATTTTATTTAGTTGTTTTACACTTCTGGCCTAAAATAATGTGCCTTTAGAGTTTTTTTTTCCCAAAAGAAGTTAAGAAAATGAAGAGAGATTTTCTCACACAAGCAATCAAGGTATCATAGAAGTTTGAATTTAAGACCATTAATCTGCAAGTCAAACTATTTTCACTAAACTAGCCCCATTGGCCTTAAGGCTGCGTTTGGTTCATGGGAAAGGAATTTCTCTGCCGCGCTGTAAGTCATATAGGGACACTGCGATTCATCTCTCTGGTACAATAAAGATCCATATCTTGTGGAAGATATTATAGGATATGATTATGATTTATTCATCACGACATAAACGAAGTAAAAAAGATAATGAAATTCGATGATTGGAGTTGGAGGTCAATTATGGCAACAGAGACCTTACAATTTTTTTTTAATTTTTTAATTTTTCTATTAGTCAAATCAGAACTAGTTTATCCCAAAAATAAAATAAAAACACAATGGTTATCCCATTGCCATTATTATATTTTATTTAGTTGTTTTACACTTCTGGCCTAAAATAATGTGCCTTCAGGGTTTTTTTAGGAAATAAAGTGATATTTCCGGGTCACTTTCCCGGCATTACCATCCCTTGGGAAATGACATGGGAAATGATTTCCCATCAAATTCATTCCGTGAACCAAACGGGGCCTTAAAGGTATCTTATAATTCACGAAGATTTTCTAGATTATCTTATCATTCACATAAGATTTTCTAATCAAGTATCATAGAAGTTTGAATTTAAGACCAATAATCTGCAGGTCAAACTATTTTCACTAAACTAGCGCCTTAAAGGTATCTTATCATTCACGAAGATTTTCTAGATTATCTTATCATTCACAGAAGATTTTCTTGTCTAGTACAAGATGATGTTTATTAACATGTGTTTTCTATGTTTTTTTATTTTTATGGGTGGTGATTTTCCCGTTTTCTTTTATTTTTTTTAATATTCTTTTTACTATTAACAAAAAAAAGAGTGTAAATAGATAAAAGAGGAGTGGGAAAATCAACTCCCTTTTTTATTTGTTTGTTTTATTTCTCTAAGTTAATGATTAGAACAAGTGTTTTCCTGTTGGTCGATAGAGGCAATTAAATTTTCCATCCTCATTTATTTAGCTACCTGCACATGGGTCCAATTCACAGTACAGTACCACATCCTTGTCTTAATAGTAGGAGCCTCGCATCAAATAAGCAAAGCCCTTAGAAAAAAAGCCCCATTTTCATTTCTATTTTCTTTTTTCAGTTCTGTTTTTGGCCTTGAAGTTGTAGAAATTGCTTCCCATTTGATCTAATGGCAACCATCAATGGCTTCCACCCTCCCATGTCTACCCTCCATAGCCAAACAACCAAGCCCCAAGTCCCCCATGCCAGTTTGCATAGCCTGCAGTTGACTTCTCATCAGCAGCATCCCATGTTGGCTTATCAAAGATCATCATTCACCAAATTCCCATATGATCATCAATTGATCAGAGCTCATCACAGACTGCTAATTACCAAGTAAGCTTCCTTAATACACCATTAATTATAATTCAGTATGATCCTTATATGCATCAATCCTTCAGTTGAAAGTTATCTAAATTGTCCCAAAACTTTCCTGGAGTGAAGGGTGACTCAGGCATCAGAAAAATCTCCACCAGAAACTCAAGGGCCTGCAGATAAATCTCCATTATCTACATGGTGAGGTTAATTATTATTTTTTTTGTTTTGTTTTGTTTTTGTGTTTAGTCTGTTAATTGTTAGTGGCAGGCAACAGAAATCATCAGCAGCTCTTTGATCATCAGTTTACTATGATTTTTGCCTTTCTGTGCAGGAAAAACTGGATTGTGGGATTAATGTTGTCAATAATAATACCTTCTTTGAGACACAAATGGGGACCCTTGCTGGCCCTTAAAAGTACACTTTCAAGTTCTTAATATTTGTTATGATTAAAATTATTCTCTAAAGTTATTAATTCCTAAGTATGATTAAATCAGGCAAGGTGGACATGGCAGTAGACACAGTGGAATCTGTGACAGAGGTGGTGGAAGAGTTGGCTGAGGAAGTAGAGAAGGTGGCTGAGCAGATAGAAGACAAGCTTCCTGAGGATGCTAAGCTCAAACAAGCGATGGATTCCATTGAACATCTAGCTGAAGAAGCAGTCAAGAAAGCTGAGCAAGCCAAGGATGTCATCCACAAGGTGAATTAGTAACTCCATAATTAACTTTACAAATTTTAATTAATTAATTAATTAAATTTGGATTCTTTTTCCCTTTTCATATATTTTAATTGCAGGTAGAGGAAGTGGAGGAAGAGATTGAGAAGGCACTAATTACTGGGTCAGATGTTGATTCTGTAAACGGGGAGGGTGAGAAGAAGTCTTGACAACACTTTACCACTATATTGATTGATCGGACTTCCACTCACCTTGGCAATAACTTGTCAATTTCTCTGTAGATCACTCATCAAATAATTTGCAATTTGTTTTTTCTTTTTTCGCATTTTTATGCAATGCCAAAATTGCCAATTGCTTTGAATAATTTCTTTTGCACCAAAAAGTGAAGAACCTTTTTACATGTCCACTTTATTTACCACATAAGGTGATATACAGATGTTGTAAGAGTAACATTACTCAAATTGAAATGATAAAAATGCAAATAGAATAATGTTACTCTTATCACATTTATATATCACATTCTCATATCACTTTATATGGCAGTTGAGGTGAACATCCACATCAACTAAAATTATTTAACAATTTTCTTTTTGTTTATGATTTATTCTAATTTATTTTTCTAATTTTCTTAATTAAAATATACTTTATCGATTTAATTGATGTGACATATGATATGTACATGCCACTCACCTTGGCAATAACTTGTCAATTTCTCTGTAGATCACTCATCAAATAATTTGCAATTTGTTTTTTCTTTTTTCGCATTTTTATGCAATGCCAAAATTGCCAATTGCTTTGAATAATTTCTTTTGCACCAAAAAGTGAAGAACCTTTTTACATGTCATTCGGCATATTTAGGGCCCGTTTCATAATCATTTCAGTTTTAGTTTTTAGTTGGAAAAATAAGGAGAATGAAAATGAGATGGATAACTACATCAATTAAAATTAATTTATCACTTTCTTTTCTTTTATGATTTATTGACATTTTTTAATTGATGTGGCTGTTCACTTTATTTACCACATAAGGTGAAATACAAATGTTGTAAGAGTAACATTACTCAAATTGAAATGATAACAATGCAAATAGAATAATGCTACTCTTACCACATTTATATATCACATTCTCATATCACTTTATATGGCAGTTGAGGTGAACATCCACATCAGCTAAAATTATTTAACAATTTTCTTTTCGTTTATGATTTATTCTAATATTTATTTTTCTAATTTTCTTAATTAAAACATACTTTATCGATTTAATTGATGTGACATATGATATGTACATACCATATGTGGTATAGAAATGTGGGATAAAAATGTAACAAGTGTAGCGTTATTCATAAAATGAAAGGGATATTTTATTATAAGGCCATTCCAACCGGGGCCTTAAATATAGAGCCCAAGTGCAAAAAGGCATCCCCGATGGCAGAATTTTTGGGCTCTATATCATAAAACCGGCCGGAGATAATCCTAAATCTGTGGACTCGTATAGAGCCTTAGAGCCCCAGCGGGCCCCACATTTTGAAAAACTGAACCTGCAAAAGCATGAAAAACCAGCAGGCCCTACATACTGAAAAGCATTAAAAATTACTTTTCAGTTGCAACGGTCCTTTTTTTCCCTTACGTGTACTGTTTCATTCTTCTTGTTTTTTTTTTCTCTTTGCTTTTTTTTTTTTTTTCTTTCATGGGCATACTTCAATTGTTCTATGTTTCTAGATTTAAATATGCTTCCTTTTTTAAAATACAAATTTGAAACATTAGGACTATATTTTATTGTGTTTACTTTCAAATTTTGTTTTTTTAATCTTTTCCAAATTTTGATTTTTTTTTAATAGAAATGCTTGTAAAAATAAGCTAATATAACATAAATATATATTTAAACAAAATAAGTTAACAACAACAAAAATTAATGCGTAAAATAAATTACATAATACTAAAAATACTTATAGAGCCCCTCATTGTAAGAAAGATACCTTTAGAGCCCGTAATATTCCATCGGAGCTCTAAATATGGGCTCTATCCACCATATTTAGAGCCTGAGGGGATGGCCTAACCTCCAAATCTTTTGAAACCGCCCTCCTTGAATATTTTCCAATAAAACTCCGATGCTACCTACTGTGTAATAAAATAAAATAACTAAGATTAAAAAAGAATTGAAAAATAACAACCGACAGGCACGCAACCCACGTCACCTTCGTGGCCGGCGTTAGGTCTACTCCGTACACTCCCCATCCATTTCATGTACGAGAGGAACAAACAAAATGGTAAATATAGAACATAGTTTTAGTGTGTAAAATATTGTTCTCATCGTTCTCTCCTAGACTTTATTACAACCGTTGACGCATATCTGCTCCATTCATTTTAAATTTAATCCTAATTAATCCTTTTAATATTAAGAGTTTAAGACAAAACGAAGGTGGAGACGTCAGTGCCTTGGTGGGTGGGAATCTCCCTTCCCCCTCTCTCCCCTCTCCCCTCTCCCCACCACCAAATTTTATAACGTATATATGTTTGTTTAACCCAACAAGCAACGACCTTTACCTTGCACTAAAAGCAATAACCAACAAAACAATTCAAGTCATAAAAATCCCTTTTGTAAATTGTAGCTTAGCTTTGCCCAATCCTACACGACCCCGTTTCATTCGCCCACGCTATCCCAACCACCCCCATCTCCACCAAACTTCCTCTTACCTTTCCACGCCTCATCAGTTTCTTTTCACAAATTGAACCCTTTTTTTTTTCTGCTTCTTTTTTGCATTTCTGATCGAACCCATTTGGCTAAATCGTTCAGATTTAGCCTATATTCATTGTATGCATGATGATCAGTCCCATATCCATGGCTGGGTGGACATTTAATAACCCAAAGTCGAATCCCAAAGCAGTGGATGGGAATGAAATGTTGAAGGGTCTTGTTTCTCAGAAGTCTTCTGGTTTGGACCTCATACAGAACTGCGATCTTCCTCCTCCGATGAAAATCTTTACGGGTTCCGATAACAAGACTGTTTTGTCATCCATGAACAGGGCTTGCAGCATGAGTATGACCCAAGAAGATGATAACAGGGATGAATTTGACATGTGTGGAAACAGAGGTGACGGCGACGAGAATGAGAAGTTGGAGCTTTTGAAGGCGCTGAGGCTGTCGCAGACAAGAGCAAGAGAGGCAGAAAAGAAGGCTGAGAAGTTGGGAAAGGAGAAAGACTGCCTTTCTGATGCTCTGCTTGCGGAGGCCAGGGAGTTGTTTGCATATAGGCAATGGGTGAGGTTGCTTGAGCTTAAAGTTTCCAAGTTGGAGTCACAATGGGCAGAGCAAGAGGAAGAGGGATCTTTTGGGGGTGGCAGATCAAAGGGTTTGGAGGAGCAGTCGGTGAAGGAAGGAGATGAGGGTGAGAATGGGGATGGCATTTCTTGGATTGTAGCTTTGGCTCTTTGTTTTGGCATTGCCGGGGTAGGCTTTGCATTTGGCTGCAGATATTTATGTTGAAATTTCATTTTTGTAAAAGGCCATAGTGAAAGAGAAAAATAGGTGTATATATGATCATACTTGGTAAATGAATACACATTTCAAGCTTAAAAGGTGACTTGTATCTGTATATTTCCAACTGCAGAGCATATGTTAGAGAAATATTCTGCAATTCTGCAACATTGTGTTATGGGGAAAAAATAAAAAATAAAGGTTTATGTGGAATTATGTAGGTTTATGGTTTAGTAGGTCCCATTGAGTTTAGGACCCACTTTGCATTTCTCCATATAGCAGATACCAGACAAATTTCTGTCTCCATGTTAGAAATAAGAAGGGTTTTAAGCACCCTCTAGGTACTGTAATACATTGTGAGCTCCATATGAATCAACGGTCAAGATCAGCCCGAGTCTCATGGACTATTTATACATTACGAGCCCCACAACTGTTGAATTCTGCAACATTGTGTTATGGGGAAAAAATAAAAAATAAAGGTTTATGTGGAATTATGTAGGTTTATGGTTTAGTAGGTCCCATTGAGTTTAGGACCCATTTTGCATTTCTCCATATAGCAGATACCAGACAAATTTCTGTCTCCATGTTAGAAATAAGAAGGGTTTTAAGCACCCTCTAGATACTGTAATACATTGTGAGCTCCATATGAATCAACGGTCAAAATCAGCCCGAGTCTCGTGGACTATTTATACATTACGAGCCCAACAACTGTTGATAAATTGTGAGTCCTAAGAATAGCCCACTTATGGGCGATTGAACTTAGTACTCCTATGTAAACAATTACTGAATACAAGAGCTTATTGGAGTTGAGAGCACTTGCCAGTTTACTGTTAAAACCAAGCACTAAAAATGTAGATCAACTCATAACATCCAAATTGGATGCGAAACGGAAACTTGGCTAGAATTCACTCAAGTTAAAAGCACCGTACAGAGAGGCCTTACCATTTATACATGTGTGAGGAGGATTGAGGAACCCTGTGACGAGAAGAAAATATAAATTAAAGAAAAAAATAAGGGCACACTAAGCAACTACTTTAACTTAAGCATCCCCAGCAACACCAGCTGTTATATATCTTTACCTATTCCATCTTTTTTCTACTATACAAACTGTGTATAGATTAATAGTACAAAGCTAAAGGCAGCAGCATATAAAGTAAACATGATGAGCACTTTGATATTCAAATGATGGCCATGTGAACACTCCTCAAATGGTCATAGCATTCATTGCTGGTTCCGTAAGACGCCAAGCACACCCAGCAAATATGCTTCCCACACCTACATTCTATATGGTTGCACCCATCTATCTTCTCAATTGTATACCTGCATACCGGGCAGCTCTTCACATGTTCTTTTCCTTTGCACCACTCCTTCAATGATGAATCTGGATCTTCCTTGAACTCCCGGTACTGCTCGCACGACAAGTATGGATGATATTCTAAATGGCACCGGGTACATGTCTCGGCATAACATGCACCACATACGAATGGTTCACCATCTGTCCCAGGAGCAGCTACCTGATACACAGACGAGCAGTCAGGAGAAGGGCAAAACCTGTAGATTCCCCCACTTGACGCAATAAATGACCCCAATGAGGCCCTAAAGAGCTCCTCCAGCTTCTCACTTGATAAGAGATATCTCAGATCATTGAACACAATAAGAGACCTGCAACCCTCGTGTGCACAGAACATTGGGAAACTATCTTGGTTTTTTATTGCAGACTCGCACTGCTCCACCAAACACAAACGACAAAATAAATGCCCACACACCGCAAGCCGGTATTCATCTTCAATCTCACACAAACATATGGGGCAATCAGCTTCACTATTAAACCTCTCAGTCGAACTTCCTGTCATCTGTGCAATCTCATAAATATTCTCTTCTACTTTCTGCTTCAAATCCTTGTTTCCATGAACGGAAATGACTTGACGGCGAACATTTAGACTAAAATCAGCCCCTGGTACCTTCTCTTTGAGCCCACGGAGGTCTGCCCCAAACCTGTTAACAACCTCTTTCATCAACTCAGGAGGTAAGGCACTACCTTGAAGTCGGATCTCAATCAGCTTATTTTCATGGAGTGTTAAAAGGGAGTCAACCAATTTCTGCTGGACCACACCAACTTGGTCTGAAGAACCAAAGACCTGTACACTGACGTTACGCCTGTCAAAAAGAATATAGGTTCCTGTCTCTCTCTGTAGTGAGTGCATTAGAGCGATGCCATCTCTGGAGAACAGAAGCTGTAAAATAGTTGGAGTGAGGCTGGCATGGTCTATTGTCTTCCCTTTCACAAGCTCCTCCACACGTCTTCTCAGGTCTGCAACTGTTTTTGTAGCATTGGCAGATATCTTCACTCTGTAGGAGCCATTAGCATTCCTATCTAAACTCCATTCTACACCTGTAAACAAGAAAAAACTCAAGATGGTCAAACACGCACTTCTATCTATAAGAAAACATACATGATGTTCTCAAATTTAGTCATAAGCATTATACAATCAGTAATAAAAATAAAAATAATATAAGAATGAATTAGCTGGTGCAATGCATAGGGTATTATATGCTTCCTAAGAATCAACAAATAAAGCTAAAGAGTGCAGTATATTTTTAAAAGCTCCGTCAAAAGGACAATTATGTAAGTTGACACACTTTCGCAAGGATGGAAAGAATTCAGTCCAAATGCATATCAAGTGCAAGACCATTTCCATGAAAGAAGGAAAAAAAGTAATTCACAGAACAAACAAAGATAAAGCAACTCCAAACCAACAAGACATGAAGGAGGATGAATAAAAATGAAAAAGTTGTAACCACAGAGAAATAAAATACAAAAAGTGAAGCAGAGACAGAAGAATATCCAAGTACTTATAACCACAGAAAAGGTTAAGATCAAATGAAATTCATTGATGATTAGCCAGAGAAAAGAAATATTGCATAAAATTGGAAAAGAAAATGCAGCAAGATCACTATATGCAACTAGAAGTACCATTTAGTTGAAAAAAACTTGAAAGTAATGAATCCAACTGCTTCTTGATCACAGGATAAACAGGGGCAGGGCACGATAGAGAGCTATGAAATAACTGCTGGCACTTCATCTTTTGCCATGAAAGGAACCCAGGCAATACTTTCCCTTCTAATTGTTCCAAAGCTTTTGCCGCCTCCAAGTGTAATCTTCCATCAAATGTAATCAAAGCTCTCATGAAAGCATTCTTTTGTTCAGGCTCGAAAACCTGAATGCTGCAGCTATTGTGGGAGTACCTTTTAGGCATAAAGGTTGATATTTCTTTTAGGAGAGCATCTTCACAAGCACCACATGGCGGATTTTCTACAGCATCTCCTCTCAGCAGAAAAAAATCCAGGATTCTCCTACTTGTAGCAGTCCTCAACACATCCAAAATTTCAGCCTCAGAAAGATCTTTTTCAAGTCCACTGATCACAACAGAATCCTGGGATCTTTTGCTAATTTCACAACGAACAATTCTTCCTCCTACTAAAAGGTTAAAAAAATCATTAACCATGTAAGCAACATCATCCACGTCACATTTGACAATTGCAATCCCCCTGCTTAGCCTGCGAGGCCAATAAACTTTAGCTCTAACAGCAGGGAACGACAACATTTTACGATCACCCCCAACCTGAGAAGGAATAACCTTCAGTATGGAGCCACTAAATTCAGATTCATTTAGTTCAACAGCTTTTTGAGCCACATCAGGACTCAAAAATGTTATCCTGGCCGACTTTCCTTTATCAACACTTTCCTGCCCAGTGCCAGTGAACTTATGAATAGCACATATACTACCAGAGGCATACTTTTCAAGCTCACTAAGTAACTCCTTATCATCCATGGAATCTAGTTTTGAATGAACTACATCAACAGTCAAACACCTTTTTTGAAGCTCCAGATGCTTGACCTCAGCACCAGCTCCAAACAATGCTATTGAGGGCAAGACACCAGAACCATGATACAAGCATTTCTCCAAACATTCATTTCTCATCCATTTTCGTTCACACTCCAAGGCATCATATACAAAGCTTGAAACCCTATCCATGTCATGCAAGGTGGCAAACAACGTAATCTCATTCTGATAATAATCTACTTTAATGTTGATACGTTCGTCCTTGCAAATTGACCTAACACGTGAAACAAGATGAAGCAGATAACTGTTGCCCTTCCCACAAAATCTTTTAAGCAGAGTACTGCCAAAACCAGTCAAAACTTTCAGTTGCAATTTTTGACTTTCCATCTTAGATACATCAAACAAAGGAGGAGGACATAGGGTAGACAAAGAGTTGAAATCAATGGAAGTGACGCAGACTAAATATTGATTAGAAATTGACAGGAGTTCACCAAATACTACCCAACTAGGTTTCTCACCAAATACTAACAATGAACACGAAGGATGCAACCGAACATGTTGCCCACTTAATGCCACTTCATAACCAAGTTGATCATGTCCCGAGAACATAGCAACATTTTCCACAAGGGAAGAAAGTATAACCTTTTTCAAATATTTATCACAATCATTTGATTCATGTGGATTCCAACACCAGGTACTAGGAATTATCATATTGAGTTCATGTTTAAGGCAAGACTCCAAATCCTTTACCATTTCTTGGCATCTCCTCATAGTTTTGGCATTAATGCTGTTTTCCCAACACCATGTGTTTTTCTTCTCTTGAGCCAAATTATCCCATGTCTTGTACACAGAGAGAAGGGTAAAGAGATCCCCATCACGATGGCAAAATTGCACCTTAAGGCAGTCTGATCTAAGTTTTTCTTCATCATTACCAACTCTACAAAATATACTACTGGAATTTGCCATTACAGCTGCAAGAACCAGGCCTTCCCTACGTAAGCTGTGGTTATAACAACCAAGGATTAATTTACCAAGCCGAGGCTCAACACCCAATTTAACCAAGTACCGACCGTCCTTAGTTAATTCAAAAACATCATCAGTTTGCTTCACAGCTCCTAACTGAATAAGGTTCCGCATGGCCATGTCAATAGCTTCAGAACAAGG